TGGTTATTTACAATATGTCTCAAATCTAGTAAATTACTTCATTTACAATGAATTTTTTTTTTATTATATGTCGAAAAAATGATTTCAAGAATATTTAAAAACCAAAATTAACCAAAAAATATATTGGTAATTTTTAAGTTTTAAATATTAAATTTTAAAAGATTGGATAAGATTAATAAATTAATTTCATTAGACTTTCGGTATTTGAAATTATTTACCTTACAAATTACAAAGTGCTCCTTTACTTATACAAACTGGATTAATGTTTGTCACGGTTCCTAATCGTAGAAAACCAGCGTCGGATACCAGCTGCGATAAGAGATAAATGCTGTCGAAATCCTCAAGTGGGTTTACCCTAAAATCATCCTAAGACATTTTTAAAAATCGTATGATATCCCAACCAATCTCTCGTCATAATTTTTAATTACAGTTCAATCGTCGTGAACCACCCGTAAAATTAGGTAAGTTACTGCCTGATTCACAACTTTATGGATAATTATATTATAATTTTTATTATTATTAACTAAACATATACAGAGTGATCGAAATCTGGTAAGACATTTACTTTATCAGAAATTATTGAGAATTTAAAATTTTTGTAAAAAGAAATATTATTAAGTTTGTAAAACTCTACAATAATATGAAGTTAATTAAATTTTTTTTTTATCCCATCAGGGATAAATATGTTTATTTATAATTTTTTTAAATGGGAACCATTATTTTTGATTTGATAATATGATAGAAAAAAAAATTACAAACAATTTGGTTCTTATAATTTTTTTTATCCGAACAACCGTTTACGTTTTATAATTGTTTAAAGATTTTGACTTCCAGAAAAAATATTGTCATTTATTACGTTTCATAATATCGGTGGCAGTGCAACCGGTATTTTTGTTAGACCTTTAGTCTTACAAAACCATAGACCTAGCTATTAATAATACACCGAAAACCCGGTTTGAATCTATTATTGTTATTACTCATTTTGTGCGTAGTAAATTTTTATAGCTAATTTACATGACATAACTTGATCAATAAAATTTGGTTTATGCAACAGCAAATAAAAAAAACCCAGCACAGGGGGGTCGCGGCACAGTGGTGACGTGGCATAGTTGGATCAAGTATAATGATATCTGACAGTGATTAAAATCACTATCAAAAATAAACGCTTCGATGCAAATCTTTAGATAGTGTTTAATTTTAAAAAAATTGGTGTTTTATTCCAAAAGCTACTTGATTTGCTGGTTCCTTATTAATATCTCGATTAAGATAAAGTATGTCGAATGAAAAAGGGATTATTAAAAAATATTATTTTTCATGAAAAAATTGTGTGCATCCATAAACTTTTCAATAAGTTATAGCATTATAAAGTTAAATATAATATAAATCATAAAATCGAGAATTTTCACACGAAAATAGCATTGAGTAGCCATTTTCGTCGTGAAGACAAGTCCAGAGGTCAAATTTTTTTTTTTAAAATTAAAGTACATTACATTAGCTTTAATTTAAGATTTATATAAAAGTGTCAGACCTTCCGGAACATTTTCAAAAGTTATGTTGAAAAAGTAAATTTGTTGTGAAAAAGTTGTCATTTTAAATCCCCCCCTGTGGGCAGGTTAAGTGTCAGTTTTACAAAAAAATATACCAAATGATAAGTAAAGACATCAAGCATCTATATAAAAAAAATTATATTGATATGTTCATTTTTGAAAAAGTTAGAGCATTATTAAGTTAAAAATATAAAAAAAAATTATTTTACAAAAATCGTAATTTTTTATTAACTTTGATGTCAACTTTCACCACGAAGACAAGTCCCTCGTATATAGGGAAATGGACCGGTTTAAAAAATCAGTATGTAGAATGAAAGATGTATATAAATATTACTTCTCATGAAAAAATTGTATTGATCCATACATTTTTCAAATAGTTATAGCATAATAAAGTTAAAAATGTAAAATACAAAATCGAAAATTTTCACACATAAATAGCATTCGGTAGCCATTTTCACCGTGAAGATAATAAAGTCCGAAATTTTTTTTTTTCAAATTAAAGTACATTACATTAGCTTTAATTTAAGATATATATAAAAGTGTCAGACCTTCCGGAACATTTTCAAAAGTTAAGTTGAAAAAGTTAATTTTTTGTGAAAAAGTTATCATTTTAAATACCCCCCTGTGGGCAGAAAAAAAGTCAAATTTACAAAAAAAATATAAATGTTGTGGTGTTTATTCACATGGCTTATTGATGTATCCATACAAAAAATCAGGTGGAGTACTGACTCAATTAGAATTTGACATAATATTGTGTAAAAGTATTTGGTGACATAAAAAAATTTACCGAAATGGCCAGGACTTTCATATAAAATTCTTGATGAAAGACGATATGATGATAGAGATCAATTGGTTGAACTAGTTTAAAATGGAATGAGATGAAAGTGTGCTGGGGCATTTTGTACATCCAAGGGACGCACACGGTGCAAAAAGTGTAATATTGATTCTGTATAACATGTTTTGTTTCGTACCATACTAAGTGAATAATGAAATGAAAAAAAAATTATTAAAAAATATAAAGTTCATAATGTATTGTAAAAAATAAATTTTATTACATAAATTTATTTATTTTATAACTGAATAACATAAAAGGTAATAGCCGAGTGTACCCATAAGGTATATATCTCAGAAAACGTATTTTTAAAAATTTTAAAAATAATTTTTTTTTATTCTTGTGTTGTATACTAATCTGTTTTTAATAAAAAAAAGTACAAAATTTGAACAAAAATAACCCTCGGTGTAGATGGGTTAATATTACTACGATGTTTTTTTTTTTATTATTGTATTTTTATGTCTGTTACCATTTATTTTTAGCTCTCACTGGACCGATTTTGATGAACATGCGTCAAAACATCACAAATCATATTTACTCGAAAAAATTAACCTCAAAAATTGAAAAAAATTTCCTCGATATATATAAACAGAGGAAATTTCCAAATAAATTACAATTTTAAAAATCGATAATTTTTAAACTATTTTTAATTAAAATTGTTATACCTTTATGAAAAATGAATGAATGAATAAGAACAAATTTTCATATTGATACCTTAGGTATTAGCTTATCATTTGGTATATTTTTTTGAAAATCTGACCTATTACCTGTCACAGGTAAGCTTTCAAAATGGCAATTTCTCACAAAAAATTAATTTTTGAAAAGGTTCCAGACATACTAACACTTATATATATATATATCTTAAATAAAAGCGTATGTAATAATTTTAATACGAAAAAAAATCAATTTCGAACTTTATTTTGTTTTTATGGTGAAAACGGCTACACTATTCAAAAATATGCTATTTTTGAATAGTAATTAATAATTTTTACTAATTAATAATAAATTAGTATAATAATATAATAATAATAATAATAATAAATAAAAATAAACTTCACCTTATAATTTAAATATTAATAAAGTTATTGTAAAAATATAAGTTTATCTTTTAACTTCGATGCAAAGCTGAGAAGGTATTAATTCTACCATGATGTGTTTATTTATTTTTTTTGTCTGTTGCTACTTTTTCTCAGCTCTCACTCGACTGATTTCTTTCAAAAATACGTCAAAAGATCACAAATCGTATCTAGTTGGAGACATTACCATTAAAATTTGAAAAAAATTCCCTCGTTCCCCGCAAATGGAGGAAATTTCCAAAAAAATTACAAATTTAAAAATCGCTAATTTTTGAAATTTTTTCACTTTTTTTTCTTAAAACTTCCATAACTTTTTGAAAAATCAACAAATCAACATAATTTTTTTTATACTAAAACCTTAGATATTTTTCTTTCATTTGATATCAGTTTTTTGAAAATCTAACACTTAACCTGCTCATTGGGGGAGATTTAAAATAGCAACTTTTTTACAAAAACTAACTTTTTCAACTTAATTTTTGAAAATGTTCCGGAAATACTGCGTCCTTTAAACATATATCAAATTAAATCTTATTTTATGTACTACAAAATGAAAAAAAAAATTTGTCCGACACTTTATCTTCTGCATGTAAACGGCTGCCGTAGTTAAATAATTTCTATTTTTGTGTTAAAATTTTCAACTTAAAAGTGCTATAACTTTTTGAAAAATGTATATATCAGCACAAATTTTTTTTTCTAAATATATTATAAGTACATATTTCATTTGACATACTTTTTGTTAAAATTGGACTATTTCCCCTTATAAAGGGGGCGTTCAAAACTTGAAATATTATAAAAACATAGATCTTTTTCAACTGAACTTTTGAAAATGTTCCGGAAATACTGCGTCCTTTAAACATATATCAAATTAAAGCTTATTTTGTGTACCATAAAATAAAAAAAAAAAATTTGTCCCGACGACCTATCTTCTATGCGCAAATGGATGTCGAAAATTAAAAAAAAATGTAATGTTTGCAATAAAAATTACCTTTTATCGGGATGTTTTTTGTATTTAAAACTGCCATAACTTTTTCAAAAATGAACAAATAAAAATAATATTTTTTTGTATTGAAACCTTAGATATTTCCCTTTCATTTGATATAATTTTTTTTGAAAATCTAACACTTATTCTGCTCACTGGGAGGATTTAAAATAGTAACTTTTTTACAAAAACTAACTTTTTCAACTTAATTTTTGAAAATGTTCCGGTAACACTGCGTCCTTTAAACATATATCAAATTAAAACTTTTTCAACTTATACTTTAGACATACTTTATCTTAATCAGGATATAAATAAGGAACTAGCAGATTATGTAGCTTTTGGAATAATACACCAATTTTTTTTTAATTAAACACTATCTACAGATTTGCATCGAAGCGTTTTTTATAATAGTGATTTTAATCACTGTCAGATATCATCTATACTGGACCCTACTATGCAATGTCTCCACTATGCCGCGACCCNTCACCCAACTATGCCGCCACCCCACTGTGTTGGGTTTTCGATTTTAAATTTTTTTAAGATATAAATCAATATTCAATTCAAAATTATAATTTCTATTTATTTTATTTTCTCAAAATACATTTACTGATATATAATTGATTAAAATTTAAAATTCGAAATTTAATATAATATTAAATATTATAAATAGTTTTATTAGTTTCATTAACGTATTTAAATCCAAGTTCTTTATAATACTTTACAATAATTTCATTAAGGATTTTCATATATTTTTCATGCATAATAGTGGGATCGTTAATATATAGACTAAATAATTCTTCATCGCTTAATACACTTGATAATTTTAAGTAATTTACTTCATCACCAGGTGATTCATTAAAAATATTATTACAGTATATTGGAGTCCAATTATTAACTTTGTTTTGTTTGTCTTGAATATTTCTATTTAATTCTAAAATGTCACTTTCATTTATTATGACGTTTTCAGCATCCGAAGAAAGATGATTTGGTAAAAATTTTTCGAAATTCTTAAATTCTTTCAATATGGTTGTATAATCATTTACAAATGTTTCCAAGTCCATATCAGTCAGGTTACTTAAATAATCCAACGCACTTATAAAGTAAGTAATTACAGTATTTACTTTAGTAGTACATGTCTTAAGATTTTGTAAACATTTTATTGTAGCCTCTTTATTTTGTTCCTCATTCATGTTCATACAAACATTGAAATAAGAAATAAAGATGTTTACATTACTCGACAAGTATGAGACATATTCACAACTTAATACTTTTGTCACTATAAATAATCCATCATTAACATTTTTTAACATCATATTAGACTGATTTTTGAAAAGTGGATTGTAATTTTTGAGAACTGTAAATTTACTTACTTGAAAATATTGTAAACTTTTATCCGCAAAACATTTTTCAATGAGTGAATTTAGTATTTTTTCAACTTTGGAATGATCGCATGATGCAAGTTGAGATTCACACATTAAAACTGTAAATAATAATAATCTAGTGAAAAGTTTCATAATTATATTGAAATTAGAAAATACTTCAATAAAATAATAAAAAATATCAAGTAATTTATATAACTACTTTTACATAAATGTTATTGCATGCAGTCTTTTTTATACAATTACTTTGTTTGACGTTATTATCTGAAAAATCAACATTTATCAATGATAAATTAAACTCAAAATTATGTTAATGTTTGTATTATTTACAATAAAATAAAATTCAAAGAATAATTGTGACTAATTTTAACATTAAATTGTAACGATGATTAAATGTTAGCACATAAACTTAAATTAGTTGCATAGATAATTGCGAAAATTCAAATAAATTTAATGTTAAAAGTAAAAATAAATATTACTACCGTATTTTCTTTTATAAAACAACATTTTGATAATCATAACGCTCTACTCTACTGGTTGCAGTACTACATTAGTAATGACTATCAGTAATTAAACAATAATATATTATAAATTTGTGATCTTTTTTTTCAATTAGCAACATACATGTTTAACTATACAAAATACATATAATCTATTTAAGAAAGTGACTGAAATGAAGTTCTTTAAATTTCTTCTTTTTAGTAATTTTAATATTAATAATTTTATTTATTATATAAAATAATAAGGGCTTAGAATAAAAATAATTTCGGTTTTCACAATATTTTTTAAATCTAGTAAATGGCTTCATTTACAATGAATTTTTTTTTATATGTGAAAGGTTACAAATATATAAAAATCAAATTAATTGGCCGCAACGAAAAATTTGTAACTTTCATGGCGTTTTACAAAATTATAAGAAGAGGGTCGCCGACCTACTGGGCGAGACAGTGTATTGTCGGACCACAGTAGGATTTTAAAAAAAATTAACTATTGTATATTAAAACAATTAAAAACAAATATATAATTAATAAATATTATAGTTGATGTCCGTTGAGTCGTTGATAGTAAATGTACACCAAAACCTCGTGACAGGGGTCACATAATCATATTGATCAGGGATGACCTTATACAAGGCCGTTGCCCGTACCTTATAAACTAGGGGAGTTGATTTTTGAAAGGAAAAAAAAATACACGAGTCCATTGAAGATGGAACACGCAAAAAAAGAAAAAACAGATGATGGTTAAGTTAAATTAAGGGGACTTTATTAAGTAAAAAAAAAAACAAAAATTAAGTTATTACGAGGCAAAAAACCGAATGGTCAAAAAACCTCGTCTACAAATTAAAGGGGACAGAGAAAGAGAAAGAAAAAAAAAACAGATATTAATAAAAAAAATAGTTACACCTACACTTTTATTGTTAGAGAATACGATGAACGTCTTCGGGTACCCGCTGGCTATTAATCGCAGCATTGCCGCTAAGCACGGCGGGTATACGTCCCAAGTAAGCCTGGTTTCTGGCAGTTAGGCTTAACTTGCAAGACGTTGGGACACCCCGGAATAAAATGCACTACGTCACCACATTGTACCAATATTATATTCATCACCCAATAAAAAATAATATCAAACCTATATAACAAAATATATAACATGACAGGTGGTATTGGAACACGCCTGCCATGTTGAGGGATCTAAATAAAAAAATATAGGGACACCTACAACAAAAAACTATATAAAAAAAAATATAAAAAAAATTCGCCACACGTGCTTATGGCACGGCGCACTCATAAAAAAAAACTGGCTCACAACATTAAATAAACAGTATACATTACCCGCCCCCAAGGGCTAAAGAAACAGGAGGCAGGTTTAACCGACGCCGTGATAAAAAAAATTACATTTTTACATAGCGGGCACTCACGAGAAAAACAAAATTATATTACAAGAAACACAAAAGTTGCAGCGCACACAACTAAATCTATCGCTACGGACGGGAAATAGTACGACCAGTTCCGACTATGGCTATTCCCCGACAACCCGTCCGACATTTGACCCGGCGGTCCGTTGGCGACAACACGGCTAGCCTTTGGAGTAGGGGTCAAAAAAAAAAAACCTAATACCCAGTGCCGGAAATTACTAAGAACAATTTAAATAAGGCGACAATGTATGCGGTGAGCAGTGCAAATGACGTTCAAGATAGGAAAGGAGAGGGGTGAATGTACACACAAATGCCGTCCATTAACCGGTCTGAAGTAGTACACAGCTGACTATCTCGCACGAGCATAAACAAATCACAACACCTTATCATGATAATTTTACCAACAAACGCCGTCGCAGTCCGCATTCGGCTCAACACAAATATATATATATACAAATAGAAAAAAAATAACAAGATACTTTTGTCACGTTACATATGTTAATATAGCACCATAATGGTGACATTATAGTGCAACTAAACTGTGCTGTTTATTTTATATAAGACGTATTATGCATGTATTACACATTTATAATACTTTTTATTCCCCTGAAAATAAACATTTTCGGCAATTTTAGAAGGCGTTTATAGTTATTTTTTTATTATTAATAATAAAATAATAAAAAAATGGTAGCACAGTATGTGCGTAACATATTTGGGACTATCATAAAAAACGCTTTGATGCAAATCTGTAGATAGTGTTTAATTTTAAGAAATTAGTGGATTATTCCAAGAGTAAAATTAACTCCTATTTTTTGTTCGACTTTTGGGCGTAGAAGATATGTCGTCGACACATATTTGTTTTTTTTTAGTAGGTAATATAAGCTTTAATTTAACATTAGTTTAACGTACAAGGTTTTCCAGAACATTATCAAAAGTTAAGTTGGAATAGTTGACTTTTGTAAAAAATTTGCTAATTTTATTCCCTTCAATGAGCAGGTTAAGTGTCAGATTATCATAAAATTTATATCAAATGAAAGGGAAATATCTGATATATTTGATTTGTTCATATTACAATAAGTTATAGCAATTTCAAAAAAAAAAAGTGAAAATAAATGTTAAAAAATTATGGATTTTAAAAATTGTATTTTTTGGCGGGATTTTCATCATTTACGCGGAATGATGGAAAATGTTTTAATTTTTGAGAATAATCTTTTCAACTAGATACTATGTGTTATCTTTTGACGTATCGTTGAGCAATTATTTTTTTGTTACAAAAAAATATTCAACACATTAGATTTTTGTTTCATTTAGATTTAATAACTTCAATGAATATCAAGGATCTCATAACTGTTATCTCCTCTCGTGAGAAAAAATTCCTTATTTGTGTTAATAATATTTTACTATATTTAAGCTTCGATGCGAAGCTGAGATGGTATTGGTTTTACTAAGATGTGTTTTTTTTTTTATTTTTTTATTTTCATTTTTTTTTTTGTGTCTGTTACCACTTTTTCTCAGCTCTCACCGAACGGATTTCTTTCAACGATACGTCAAAAGATCACAAATCGTATCTAATCGAAGACATTACCCTTCAAAATTGAAAAAATTTCCCTCGTTCCCCGTAAATGGGGGAAACCTCCAAAAAAATTACAAATTTACAAAACGCTTATTTTCGAAATTTTTTCAATTTTTTTAACTAAAAACTGCCGTCACTTTTTCAAAAATGAACATATCAATATAATTTATTTTTATAGATGCTTGATGTCTTTAACTATTATTTGGTATATTTTTTTTGTAAATTTGACCTTTTTCTGCCCACAGGGGGGGATTTAAAATGACAACTTTTTCACAAAAAATAAACTTTTTCATCTTAACTTTTGAAAATGTTCCGGAAGGTCTGACACTTTTATATATATCTTAAATTAAAGCTAATGTAATGTACTTTAATTTGAAAAAAAAAAATTTGACCTCTGGACTTGTCTTCATGGTGAAAGTTGACATCAAAGTTAATAAAAAATTACGATATTTGTAAAATAATTTTTTTTTATATTTTTAACTTAATAATGCTCTAACTTTTTCAAAAATGAACATATCAATATAATTTTTTTTTATATAGATGCTTGATGTCTTTACTTATCATTTGGTATATTTTTTTTGTAAATCTGACACTTAACCTGCCCACAGGGGGGGATTTAAAATGACAACTTTTTCACAACAAATTTACTTTTTCAACATAACTTTTGAAAATGTTCCGGAAGGTCTGACACTTTTATATATATCTTAAATTAAAGCTAATGTAATATACTTTAATTTGAAAAAAAAAAATTTGACCTCTGGACTTGTCTTCGTGGTGAAAGTTGACATCAAAGTTAATAAAAAATTACGATTTTTGTAAAATAATTTTTTTTTATATTTTTAACTTAATAATGCTCTAACTTTTTCAAAAATGAACATATCAATATAATTCTTTTTTATATAGATGCTTGATGTCTTTACTTATCATTTGGTATATTTTTTTTGTAAATCTGACACTTAACCTGCCCACAGGGGGGGATTTAAAATGACAACTTTTTCACAAAAAATTTACTTTTTCAACTTAACTTTTAAAAATTTTCCGGAAGGTCTGACACTTTTATATATATCTTAAATTAAAGCTAATGTAATGTACTTTAATTTGAAAAAAAAAATTTGACCCTCTGGACTTGTCTTCATGGTGAAAACGGCTACCGAATGCTATTTTTGTGTGAAAATTTTCGATTTTATAATTTACATTTTTTACTTTAAAGTGCTATAACTTTTTAAAAAATGTATGGATCAATACAATTTTTTCATGAGAAGTAGTATTTATATACATCTTTCATTGGATATACTTTTTTTTTAAATCAGACTATTTCCCTATATATGGGGGGGCTTCAAATATAAAAAATGCATATAGAAAGTAGAACTTTTTCAACTTAACTTTTGAAAGTGTTCCGGAAGGTCTGACACTTTTATATATATCTTAAATTAAAGCTAATGTAATATACTTTAATTTGAAAAAAAAAAATTTGACCTCTGGACTTGTCTTCACGGCGAAAACGGCTACCGAATGCTATTTTCGTGTGAAAATTCTCGATTTTATTATTTATATTATATTTAACTTTATAATGCTATAACTTATTGAAAAGTTTATGGATCCACACAATTTTTTCATGAAAAATAATATTTTTTAATAAACCCTCTTTCATTCGACATACTTTATCTTAATCAGGATATAAATAAGGAAATATCAGATCAAGTAGCTTTTGGAATAAAACACCAATTTTTTTAAAATTAAACACTATCTAAAGATTTGTATCGAAGCGTTTATTTTTGATAGTGATTTTAATCACTGTCAGATATCATTATACTTGATCCAACTATACCACGTCACAATTGTGCCGCGACCCCCCTGTGCTGGGTTTTTTTTTGTAGCTGTCATTTATTTTTTTAGCTCCTTCTTGACCTATTTTATTCAACGATATGTTACAATTCGTATCTAATGGAAGAAATTTCCTTGAAAATTGAAAAAAAAATTGTACTTTATCAATGAAAAATTTACTTAGACCACATTCTCCATATAGACAATTAAAATCTTTCAATTTCTAATTTTTTTAAAGTATTTATTGTCGAATTAGGTTTGATATGAGAATTGTCTTGATTCGGTTTACCCACCTAAGTGTAATCACCAAAGTGTTAATACATTACCAACCATAAAGTAACCTCTAAAGATGACCAAAGAGTCCTGTCTTTCTGGCGAAATTAATTATCTCTCTGGGTTTTAGGTTTTTAATATCTTCTTTTTCAGGAAAAGGTTTATTCAAGTAGTTTGATCTTAGTGTGGACAAGACTTCACATTCGCACATGATGTGAAATGAGTCTACCTCTTCCACACTTCCTGTGATTCCGATACCCCCATTGTGTTAAGATGTTTAAGCAGGTGACCGACCATGTCCTGTCAGTAGACCAGTTAGGGTGCTTATTTGATGTCTTGTCATGCTATTAAGATCATCCAACAGTAAACCAGGGGTTTTGATAAATATTTTAGATTGTCTAGATACTACTAAGTACTTCCAGATTTTCCTGTGTTTTTCTCTGCACCAATTCTTGGGTAGCACTTTGAGCGATTGCTCAGTGAGTCCTACCACTGGTTCTGGTCTAACAAAGGTGTTTTCTGCTCCTTTCAGCAGAGAAAGTCAGCATTCTCATTTCCAGTTAAACCGTTGTGTCCCGGTACCCACGCTAGTGTAACTTTGGTGAACCGCGATAGTGATTCTAAAGTTTCCCTGCATTCGAGGACCAGCTTTGAATTCACCTGATCGTTACAGAGTGCCTTCAAAGCCGCTTGACTATCACTTAAGATAGTTATCTTCCTATTTTTGTGTACCAGCAGGTTCTGAGCCTCTACCAGTATCGCCATCACCTCTGCTTGGAAAACAGAGGGTGTTGTGCCCAATGACATACTGACATTTATTCGTGGCTTTAAGCCCCAAATTCCAGCACCTACCTTTCCTGATTTTTTGGATCCATCTGTATATATCACAAATCCTCCTTTGTCAGTCAGGTGGTTAATATTCCATTCTATACGTGTAGTGATCTCCACTTTGTAGGGAATGTTATTCTTAAGAACCGGTTTGATATAGTCCAAGGGGTATTCTAAAAAGCCCTTGTCTATCTCTTTTAGTATTTTACCATGTTCTGTTGTATCACTCTCCAAAGTCCACATACCTAAGTTGTGGAATCTTAGTGCTGTAGCTTTGGCGTGAGCTTTCACCTCTAGATGCAGAGGAGGCAATCCAATTAGTGCCTCTAATGCGACCGTTGGTGTAGTTCTTAATGCTCCAGTGATGGCAATAGCAGCCATTCTCTGTATGCGACTAAGTTCTTTCCTAGCTGTAATGAGTGCTGTTCTGGTCCACCAGACCAGGGCACCGTACAATATCATAGGTTTAATCACTGACGTGTACAACCAATACATAACTCTTGGTTTAAGACCCCATGTCTTTCCCAAGGCTCTGCTGCAAGTCCACAATGGGGTCATTGCTTTTTTGATTCTTGACTCAACATGTGATTTCCATTTTAGCTTACTATCCAAGATAATACCTAAGTATTTTACTTCTGATTTTAAGCTAATTTCTTGTCCATTCAGAGTAAGAGTGTCCAGGCTGTCTAGTCCTATTCTCTTTCTAGTGAACATAACAACCTTTGCTTTATCTGGATTAACAGATAGACCGTACTTACTACACTATATCTGTATATTGTTAAGTCTCTGTTGTGCTAAGTCTATAATAGTGTCTGGGAATTTACCCACCACTGCTTTAACCAAGTCATTCGCATAGGCTTGTGTATAATAATATTTGTGTAACTCTCTAATAAGCGAGTCGAATGCTAGACACCATAGCAAGGGGGATAGAACCCCGCCTTATGGGCATCCCTGTTTAACACTCTTGATTACTTTGGTCTCATTGAGCTGTCCCAAAATGGAGCATTCCTTAAGCATGGATTCTATCCACTTATTAATAAGTGGTTCTATTCCATAATGTTGTGCATATTCACACATAGCATCGAAGGGAGTATTGTCAAAAGTATTGATGTCCAGGAATATATCTACTGCATACATTTTATTCTCTACAGCTTTCCCTATCTTAGAGGTTAAGCAGTGTAGAGCTGTATCAGTAGATTTCCCCGTTTGATACGTATATTGGTTTAGTTGCTATAGGGAGTTGTTGTATATCCCCACAGAACTTCTTCCAGCTTTCTCTTTTGGACTTTTTCAATGCAAATTCGTAGTTCCTTTGGGTGTCCTTATAGGATTCCCAGTGTTGTTCCAAACCTGATGTCATTGCTTTATTTAAGAGCTTACGTGAACTCTTTCTTAATTTAGACTGGTTAGCATTCCACTAAGCTACACCCTGCCCTGTACCTTTCCTTTCTATTAAAGGACAGTTTTCTTTGTAAGCCGAGTCAATGGAGTCCTGTAGCATATTTACAGCGCTTTCAGTACTCTGTCTTGACCCCAATCTAAACTGTAGGTTATTCAGGTCACGAGAGAGATCTGCCTTGTAGTTGTACCAGTTTGTTCTTTTCGGGTTCCTATAGTACTCCGTCTCAACTTTGTTATTTTCAAAGTGAATCGTAAGTGCCTATGATCAGAAAGAGAAGGTTCGGAGGACACTTTCCACCCTTTTATCTTTTGAAGTAACCCTTTTGAACAAAATGTCAGATCAATGACTTACTGCCTGTTGTTTTACGAAACAGTTTAAAATCCCTTAGATTTAGTCCCTTAATCTGGTCACCATTTATCCATGTGTCTTGAATAAGTGCTATTTGTAAGGGTATTGTAGCCTCTCAGTTAGATTCCTTAGTAATACACTGCTGGCCTCTTTACTATGATGCAGGTTTATTTGCGTGAATTGAATTCTATTGTCAGCCATTTAGAAAAACTGATGTTGACGCTTGAGAAAGCATGCTGTACTGGGTGTGATACAGAAGTCTGAACCAGCCCCTGTGTCACACAACCCCCCCCCTGTGGGTGGTGTCCCCCCGCCGTCCACAGGTGGCGACCGTGCCTTAGGTTCTCTCTCCACATTTCCTTTTGGATCCGTGGAGAGGTTGCCCTCAGCTGTGGCCGTTATTGAGGGTGGCGGTTTCCTGTGTCCCTTTCCCTTACGTAACACACTTCCTCCCTTCTCTTTCGAGGCAAGAGTGAAGTGTGTCCGTTTGTTCCATGCCTGTGCCTTACCTCCTTTTCCGAGTGGCACTGGTGATTCCTCAGCCTTCCTCTTCCCAGATTTTTGAGGTGTGGATTTTTTCACATCCTTCCAGGCTGGTGGCTGCTTGGCAACATAATCTGTGAAGCAAACTCTGCCCATTCCAAAATATGGACTGCGCTTCAGTTCCTCCAGTTTGACCATGATGTTTTCGTCCACACTTAGGAACAAAGTTTGTCCTTTCGGGCCAACCTCTGTCTCATAGTGGACTTTCCAGAACGCCGTGTTCAGCCCTGGATTTTGATTTGGCCAAATTTCCAAGATCTTCTTGGACTCTTTTGGCAGCCCTGGTATATGAATGACCATCCGTTTGTACTTGATCGGGTTGTAGGCTTCCAATTGGAGTTCTGCACCGTTCCAAGGTTTTATCAGATTGACATGGTCAGTGAGCCACTTAAGAGAGTTCTCTTGGGCTACACTGATCACAAGTGCTCCATCAGTGAGTCTGGTGTCTTCAAACCTTAGTACGTCGGTTCTATCAGTACCCGACAGTATCAAGTCTCCGACACAAGACTCAATGAGTAGCCCTTGCTCTGTGGTCAACTTGTTAGTGGGGTATTCAGAGCCACTTTTTTATCATCTGTTACCACGTCCCTGTAGGTCGGTACCCAATGAGTTTTCTTACATGGAGGTTCTTGACCCTTGTCCTCAGGTTTTTGAGCTTCGGTTCCCTTTGACTTTTTCAAGTCATCGGTTCCCTTGTCTCCCTCCTTTGATAGGTTCTTCTGTCCCTCCATGATTGCTCGGCTCTTCTTCAGCTTGCGCCTGTGACTGCCGCTCAGTTTCTCAGGTCTAAGTTTTAGACCCTCGATTTTGTCAGCTACTGCTCCCAGTTGATCTTGCGATTCTTGGTCTACATTTGCTGACGTTGCTGTCTCTTTGCTAGTAGACGGTTCACCAAGAGTCCCGTTGTTGGCATTGAGACCTTCAAATTCAACGATTCTTTTGCGAAGAGTCGCCAGTTCACGATCTTGTTCCGACAGGTTGTCCGTAGGATCCCTGATCGTCACAAGTTTGTTGTTTTGTGGGTTTTCTATGTTTTTATCTATATAGTCCCACGAGTAGTCGAGAAATAAAGGTCCGTTACAGCAGAGCTCGATACTGTGATAAGGCTGTATACTCTATGGTGCGCCAGGTGCCATAGAGGTGATCCTCTATGGTCACTTTACCTTTCGGCTAACTACCCAGTGACAAGTTAGCAACCCTTTCACTTGGTATGGCTGGGTTAGGGGGGCCTATTCGCTGTAAGCAAGCAGGTATGCCCAGGCCTACCGGTCCCAACTAACTAAAGTCATAACCGGCTAAGAGCAGTGGTACGTGTTGCCACCCCCACTGAAATAACTGGGGTCCACGGGGTTGTTAGGCTCGTAATCCTTGCGCATTCCCCTGCGGGTTTGTATCAAAGTTAATACATACGATACTTATAAAAAGTCGTAATGGTTATCAACGAAAAGAAGGGGGCTAGGCAGAAACCTTCACGTGGTGCCCCTGTTAATGTTGTATCTTCACAGCTAACTAATTCTGCCAACACCGGTGCTAAAAATGCCAATAAATAGCTCCCCAAAACGGTCCTTTTCAGGACCAACCCCTGTTAATGCTTCGGCATTTACAGTGCTAACGCAAAACATCGAGGGCTTCTCGGCATGTAAAGGTGAGCTACTAGCCACCTTATGCGCGGAGAGTCAATGTGATGTTTTGTGTTTGCAAGAGACGCACCGGGACGAGACCAGTGTCCGTCCAAAAATACCGGGAATGGATTTAATTATTGAAGTACCTAACGCACTCTACGGAAGCGCCATATTTGCTAGGCCGGGCATAGTCATAGATAGTGCAGCATTCAGTAACACAAATAACATTGAAATCCTAACAATAGAAACCAAAAGATGTACAGTTACATCAATATACAAGCCACCAAATGCTGATTTTACTTTTGAAAAACCATCCAATTTTGAAAATAGCCTTACAAAAATAATAGCTGGAGATTTTAACAGTCATAGTTCTACCTGGGGATACTCAGATACTGATCAAAACGGTGAGGAGGTTCAAAAATGGGCTGAAATAGAGCTACTAGATCTAATTCACGACCCTAAGCTTCCAAATTCATTTTATAGTGGACGTTGGAAAAGAGGATATAACCCGGACCTAATATTTGTAAGCAGAAACATAAGCCAACAGTGCCTTAAGGATGTATGCACCTCGATTCCAAAAACGCAACACAGAGCATTAAAACTACAAATAAATGAAGTTATCAGGGCTGAAACGGTACCGTTTAAGAGGAGGTTTAACTATAAAAAAGCTACCTGGGAAAAATACAGTGAAGCTATTGATAAAGAAATTCAGAACTTAGAACCAACACCAGAAAACTACGAAGTATTTGCGGATAAAGTAAGGAAAATATCTAGACAACATATACCACGCGGCTGCAGAGAGAAGTACATACCAGGCCTGAATAAAGAGACTGGAAAGTTGATGGACATATATCAGGATTTATTTCAAAATGATCCATTTAGTAATGATACTATTGCGGCAGGAGAGAACCTTATTAAGATGCTTGGTGATGACAAAAATAAAAGGTGGCACGATGTCATCGAAAGTGCTGATATGACTAAAAACAGTAAAAAAGCCTGGCGCCTTATAAAAAAGCTCAGAGGAGACCCAACTATACATAGAACATGTGTAAATGTCACTGCTAATCAAATTGCCACAGAATTATTAAAAAATGGTAAACCAGGAAGGAAAATCAAGAGGGAAAAAATTATAAGAAACGAAAACAATGAAAGTGATACATTCCACCAAGACTTTCAAATGGATGAACTCACCATCAGTCTGAAAGAAATGAAAAATGGGAAAGCAGCCGGGTACGACGAAATTGTAGTAGAACAAATTAAAAATTTCGGATTAGGAGCAAGACGATGGCTACTCAAGTTATTAAATGTGTGTCTCCATAGAAAGTGTGTGCCCAAAAGCTGGAGAAAATCTAAAGTAATAGCCCTTCCCAAACCTGGGAAAGACCTGGGTGATCCAAAAAGCTATCGACCCATATCTTTGTTATGCCACACGTATAAAATATATGAGAGAATGGTCATGAACCGGATCAAAACTCAAATTGACACACAACTAATACCGGAACAAGCTGGCTTTAGACCTGGCAAGGCTTGTACAGGTCAAGTACTTAGTATGTGCCAACACATAGAAGATGGCTTCGAAAAGAAAAAGATAACTGGAGCAATTTTCGTAGACCTCACAGCAGCGTATGATACTGTTAACCATAATAAACTGTTACAAAAAGTTTACTATTACACCAGGGATTGGCAATTTGTTCAAATCGTGGCTTCTCTACTACAAAACCGTCGATTTACGGTAAAATTGAACAACAAGTGGAGTAGATGGAGAACCCAAAAAAATGGGCTACCACAAGGTAGCGTGTTAGCTCCAATGCTCTTTAATTTATACACAAACGACCAGCCAACTCCGAGAGATACGAAACACTTTTTATATGCAGATGATCTTGCAATCACAGCTCAAGATACTACTTTCGATAATGTAGAAAAAAAACTTACAAATTCACTAAAAGATATGACTAACTACTATAATAATAATCAATTAAAACCTAACCCTAACAAAACACAGGTATGTTGCTTCCATCTACGGAACCGTGACGCCAAGAAACGTCTCAATATAGAATGGTTAGGCAAAAAGCTGCAGAGCACTGATCACCCTGTATACTTAGGCGTTACCCTAGATAGGACTCTTACATTCAAGGAGCATTGTCTCAAAACTAAAATGAAAGTACAAGCAAGGAACAATCTACTAAGAAAACTCGCAGGGACCCAATGGGGAGCACGACCGCATACCATGCGTACAACCGGTCTGGCCCTATGCTTCTCGGCTGGAGAATATGCGTGTCCAGTGTGGAGCCAGTCAAAACACGCCAAACATGTATCGGTAGCATTGAACGATACGTGCAGAATTATAACGGGATGTCTCAGGCCAACGCCTACACACAAGTTATACCTCCTAGCAGGCATAGCTCCTCCCGAAATAAGAAGACGCGTAACCACTGACATAGAAAAAACCAAACAGATGAAGGACGATAGACATCCCATGTTCGGATATGGACTCACGAGTACGAGACTCAAATCTCGAAGGAGCTTCATGCACACAGCAAAAGAGCTAGGCGAATCCCCACAAAAAGCTCGGCTACAAAAGTGGAAAGATCAGTTACAGCCAGAAGAATTGACCCAGCCTACCCAACAACTTCCATTGGGCGGACATTTACCATGGCCACTATGGAAAACCTTAAATAGATTGAGAGCTGGAGTAGCAAGGACTAAAGCTAATATGGTAAAATGGGGTTTTTACGAAGTAAACGAAACTTGTGAATGTGGAGAATTACAGACCGATGATCATCTTCTGTCATGTGCCATGAGCCCAGCACAATGCACCAGGGAAGATTTGGTTCTGGCAACCAAAAATGCGCTAGAGACGGCTACTTACTGGTTGCAACACAATATATAAAAAGTTACCAAATATGTGATTCTATTTTAGATGTACCATTTTATGATTTATATATATATATGTATTATTTATTTATTTATTATTATTATTATTTTTTTTTTTTCCTACCATTATTATTGTTTTGTTTTTTATTTAAATTTAACTGTATTATTAATATAATTTTTATTGGCATTTTAACCCAATCGGACTCGACAAGAAGAAGGAGAAGAAAAAATAATGATTTTTTATTAGTTGTTATTATTTGTTATTGATCTTTTATGAATAACAATTATTTCGAAATTTACCATGATTAAAAATAGATTTCATTATAAAACTTAATTGATTGTTAAATTCATACTTTAAAAGATTATTTTTTTTTAAATTAAGAATTACGGGGAAAATTTGTTCATAATTGTGAATAACAAAATAAATTTTTTGCAAATAGTTATAGTATAACACTTAGAAGTCACATCAGATTAAACAAAAAAAAAAATTTATTTTTTATAATATAAAATAAGTATTAAGGTGATAATTTTAGAATAATAATTTGTAGTTTCTGAATTCGACGAATCAACTTGTTTTTATGTTATTTTTTAATGACGTCAATTAATAAATACTATTTTAACAAAAATAATCATATTACATTT